GATGACGACGTCGTCGTCGATGGGATGGGGGGCGCGGGCGGGCGGTTGCTTTGATGTGCAGGATCAGAGCGACCGGCAATGGGCGCGCTGTCAATTGTGGTTGGCTTGGAAAGCGGCTTAGTTACGCTGTTGACGATTCTGCCGCACCCCGCATCCGTCACCCTGCAGGCCGCACCCGCACCCCAGCCCTTACTTTGCCCTTACTTATCCTAGACGAATGAAGTGTGTAATTTGAAATTAGCTCAGCTCAGCGGCACCTTTGTGTGCACCTGCTGGCAGCGTGTCCTTGTGCTCGGCTACTCAGTTACGCATCAGACCCTTCAGATCCTTTCGCTATGCATACATATATATTGATATATATATATAGTTATTGATGCTTAGTTGGAAGTGTACGCAGCTTACTTCTCACTCGCTTGGCGACTTCATTCAGTTTTCAACATCAATTTGCATGTTTCAAATTAATTCGTTACCGATTCAAAAACGTAAAATCAAAAGCAGAATTTATGACCGCACACATCTGCATGTACGTTTATAATCTGACTTATTTTAGGATTCGTATCGAACGAAATGAAATAAAGCTGAACCAAGTCCGCCTGCATAGACTGTGTTGGCTGCTAATCAGGTTTTCTTTAGCCAAATTGATTCCATTTTCATATTTCAATTTCGAAACGACGCGCCGCGACAACAGCCACTCGAATAGTCCAACAAAATGCAAAATCAGTAAGACCAGTAGTCGCGACATGATATAAATTAACTGTTTTGACTTTGTGAAATGAAATGCGGCCTCTTTGAAATTCCAATTCGAATCGATCTCTTGCAGCAGCCCCAAGAGCAGTGGGTGACCAACACAAAAAAAAACAGCTAAGAATTCCACGGGTATCTTGACTATGAGATGCCCTACAATATTATAGATATAGTGTATCTATATCTACACCTATATCTATATCTATATCTATATCTATATCTATATCTATATCTATATCTATATCTATATCTATATCTATATCTATATCTATATCTATATCTATATCTATATCTATATCTATATCTATATCTATATCTATATCTATATCTATCTATATCTATATCTATATCTATATCTATATCTATATCTATATCTATATCTATATCTATATCTATATCTATATCTATATCTATATCTATATCTATATCTATATCATATATCTATATCTATATCTATATCTATATCTATATCTATATCTATATCTATATCTATATCTATATCTATATCTATATCTATATCTATATCTATATCTATATCTATATCTATATCTATATCTATATCTATATCTATATCTATATCTATATCTATATCTATATCTATATCTCCTGTTAGTAGTGCTTGTGTTAGGGTATCTTTGATATTTAAAATATCATTAAGAGTGGCTTTTTTGGCTGGGCTGGTGGTTGGGGTGCTGGCCGTATCTTTGGATCGTTAGAGATGCCGGCGCACCGATTTCTTTTCGGCTTAAATGGTTTATGTGCGTTTGCAACCAGTTTAGGCTGAAGCCGTTTCTGTTGCTGTTTTCGTATTCAATTTAAACTTTTAGGTGGGCCGTGGCCGGCGCCTTTGAAGCGTGCATCTCGTTTACCACGTGCCGTGCCCCACTCAGACGCCGACTGCGCCCCTGGCAGCGCTTCCGACTGGGCTTTTGCGTCAGCAGCCGCAGGAGGAGACGGAGTAGGAAGCCAGTTACAAAATATGCCGATGCCGGCGATGCCGCTGATCCAATGATCCAATCAAATCAGCAACAAAGCGCCATTTGAATTAATAAACAAATATGTTTATCAACATATACACAAATTGTTTGCTTTAAAGTATTATTAATAAATATGCATTTTAATGTTCGGGCAAAAAACAAATTCGCCTCGCATTGTTGTTGCCGCTCTCAAGTCGAGTAGCAATTTCAGCGATTTTAATGAGGTGCTCAGCATTTTATGATTTAATTAAGCCTTCATTTAGTAGCTACTGCTAAGCTTATTATTAATGTTGTTGTTGTTGTTGCTTCCTTCAGTTATTAGTCGCATTTATATGCCCCTATCGAAGCTGCTGCCCGAACAGCCTGAGCCCCATTTGTTGTGCCTTAATTATGTGCGTTTTAAATTCTTAATGAATGCCCCATTTGGCGATCAGCGGGGGTGTCGGCTCTTGGGCAACGCCGTCGGCTTCGGCATCGGCTTCAGCTTTAGCTATAGTTTTAGCTACTGCTATTCCCCAATAGTTGGCTGACATGCGATAATGATTTAAACGATAACGAACCCATCTGCATAATGTAGGAGGCACTATTTTGGCATCATGGAAAGTTTATATGAAAGGGAATCCAAAATGAAACGAAGCCAAGCGAAAACAAGCCTCATTCATGGAATCAATTAGGTAGCTAAAAATAAACTACACTTCTGTCTGGAATTAACCAACAACACTTTAAGCAACCGTTACAGAGTTCTATTGCCTTCTATCTATGGTCTCTAATGCCAAACACCCTTCAAATTTATCGACTTAAGTACATTTTTATATTCTATGTATACATGGGTGTGTGTATGTATGTTTGTATGTTGGTATATATGTATATATGTAGGAATGTATGAATGAATGTATGTATAAATGTGTGAATGTATGAATGTATAAAAATATATGAATGTGTGAATGTATGAAAGTATGAATGTTTGAATGTTTGAATGTATGAATGTATGAATGTATGAAAGTATGAATATTTGAATGTATGAATGTATGAATGTATGAATATATGAATGTATGAATGTATGAAAGTATGAATGTATCAATGTTTGAATGTATGAATGTATGAATGTATGAATGCATGTATGCATGTATGAATGTATGTATGAATGTATGAAAAATGAATGTATGTATATATGTATGCATGTAAATCGTCTTCTATAAGAATAGCAGCAAAGTTGTTTATGCGCGGCACATTTAAATTTGTTAATGCTGCCCTCCTCCTTGATTCTCATAAGTTTAAGTAAGTCTTGTAGGCTTCAACAATGTAAAAGGCGGCGGCAGCTTCATTGATGTAAGCTGTGGAGCAGGAGGAGCCGGATGTGGATTTGCAGGGCGGCGGAGAAGGAGGAGCACAAGGGGGCGGAGCAGGAGGCGTGGCTGGATTAGGAGGACACGGAGCAGGAGGACACGGAGCAGGAGGATACGGAGCAGGAGAACACGGAGCAGGAGGATACGGCTCAGGAGGATTCGAAGGAGGAGTAGGAAGATGCGGTGAATTATATTGCGCGGGAGTATACGTAAGAGGATAAGGAGTACAAGGATACGCAGCAGGAAGAGTAGCAGCCGTATCTCATGTTGATGTCAAATGTATTTTTGTTCATTTAAAATACTCTACTTGGAGCTGATCTGATTATATTAATCAATAATATCCTGCATTATAGTACCAAACATCAGCTCTAATCAAATCAATCCATTTGCCGTTAATTTTTGGACTCCCCAACTATTTCCGCGTGCCCTTAACAAGAAAACAACAACAACAACAGAAATTGGTAAGAAAAGCCCAGCTGAAGCGTGTAAGGAGAGCGTGGCCATGGATGAGAAGCCTAGAGGCCTCTTGGCTGGCCGAGGTGAGCTGGCGACATATGTAGGTTGCGTTTTGTAGCTTAGAATCAAAGGCGGATCAGCGCAAATCTCTGTGATCTCTGGCGGCTCTGGTTAAGGCTCTGCCGCTGCCTCTGCCGCTGCCTCTGCTGCTGCCTCTGCTGCTGCTGGTGCTGTCGGTTGAACACTTTGATGTCCTAATTGGTTTATTACTTTGTCGGCATCTCGAGTCTTCTTTGTGTTTTTGTGTTTTTTATTCTTTTTAATGCTGTTGCCTGTTTTATTTATTTCTTTATTTCTTTGGGTTTTCATGCGGCGGCTGCGCTGCATTGTGTAAGAAACGCGCCCGTTGCGGCTCTCGAATCTCGAGCCGAGCTCCAGCCTGAAGCCGCGACCGGTGAGCACGCGCACAGAACAGGAACGCCAACAGGAATGGGATTGAGTCCAAAAGCACAAGCACTACACCAAATGCCGAACACCCGCCCCTGCCCTCCCCACAACCATGCCCTATGCTTGTTTACAATGTTTCCGCGTGTGCGTTCAATCAACATGTTGTGATATCAGTGCAATTTGTCATCCCATAAACAACAATGCAACTTGGCTAAATGGGCCCCCTCCCTGCCACCTATATCATAAGCCAGGCGGGCAAATAATCGGTTGCAGAAAGACTATACTTATGCCTGGATACGATGTTCAACGAACAAAGGGAAGACCTACCTCAACCAGGTACATTGAAACTCTTTCACACAAGTCGGGTAAGCACAATTTGTTTGTTTGAATAACCAAAATCTTCATTAGTTTTTTACTCAGCTATTATTTTTATCCTCTATATAAATATATTCAGCTTATTTTATAATTTGCATGAGAAAATTTTGAAGTTCCTCTATAATTTATATTTCCTTGGGATATTTATGAAGTTTCTCTAAATTTAATAAATCTTTTATTCCTGTGATATTTCTTATAATTTTCTTGGGATACTTTTTAAATTCCTCTATATTAATCATTTTTGAATTTCCTTTATATTTTCTAATTTTCTTGCGATATTTATAAAGTTCCTCTACACGTAATTCATTTTCTAATTTTCCTGGGAAGTCCTCTATAGTTAATTAATTTTTTTATGATATTTAAGAAGTTCCTCTAAAAAACTCTTGGAGTTTCCTGGGAGGTTTTCAAAATTTTCTATTTATAATTAATTTTATATTTTCCTGGGATATTTATGAAGTTCCTCTATATTTAATTAATTTTCTAATGGTCGTGGGTTAATTAGTATCATTTTTATTGAAATATTTTTGATGATTCTTTATCTTTTATAATTTTCTTTGGTCTGTTCTTTGGTAATATTTAATTAACTTTATGCTTTTCTTGGCATATTTAAGAAATACCTTACGACTAGTTATTAACTAAGTAATTAAAGCCCTCCTCAGCCGCGTCGTTTCTGTGACTGCTGACGCTTGCGCTGCTGGCGTTTACGCTGCTGACGCTTGCGCTGCTGACGCCGGAGCTTCTGTTTCTTGAGCTGAAGCTTGATTTTTAAAAGGCGTAGCGTGTTACGCAAATATGTCGGCGATATGGTGGAGTTTGTGGTTCCGGCGCTTGTGCCTGTGCCTGTGCCTGTATCTGTGCCTGTGCCTGTTGCTGATGGCGATGTACCCGGATCAGAGTAAGAAGGACCCGAAGGAGAGGCTTGACTGCCGACCCGCTGTGCCAGTAACAGGCAGCTGAGCAGTACACAAAGGAGTGCAAAAGTCGAACGCATTGTGACAATCGAGTGCTAAAGCTAACTAAGCCCAAGTTAGCCAGACAACTTATATAATAACTAGAAAAAACAGCTGCTGTTTGTGGTATTTACTGTACTCAGGTGTTTTTCGTTTCGGCTTCTGTTTGCAGCGGAAGGAAGGTACTTCCGATCCAACATCAAGTTCACAAGTTGATACTATGTCAATATTTGTTAGCCGAACTATTTGTGATGGAGGTTTTGCTTCCGGTAAAGCAAAACCCAGACAATATTTTTGTATATTTATTAAAATAATGGGAATTATAATGCAATATATATGCTGTGAATTGAAACCAATTCATACATATATAAATAAGAAAGTATCACTTTCTAGTCCCTCATGCAGGGAATTATAAAGGCATATAATGTTATGTGTACTAAAACCAAATAAGGATTTCATCATTCCTTGACATTGCCTTCTAAGTTCTTAGTTGATTTTCTATTATTTATTTAATCTTTAAACCATTTTAATGTGATTTTGAAAGTAAATACTTTTGTATTTCTTTGCAAATGAACGTTAATCTTTGCTCTTTCAATCCAACATCATGAACAATTAGAAACTATTTTATCGAAGTGTATATTTTAAATCTAGTTCTCAGTAGATTAAGGTCAGGCGAACAACTATTCGGGTTTGGTTGGTATTTTTCGAATATAATAATATTTCTCTCCTTGAAAGTAGACATGAACATCATGTTAAATTCTCCGTCTAATACAATATTTAGATGTATTCGATAGAGTTATTGACATGACAAACAATACTTAGATGTATTAGAGCGTAAACTTGAAATGATATTCATATGTAACTACAGACATATGAAAGCTACACACAAAATTAGGTACTACCTATTATATATGTATGTGGCAACTTTCTCCGAAAGAGGACAAAGGAATAAGCGGCAAAACCTTAAAGATATAGATTAAAAGGTACATAGACAACTTTATTCCTCAAATAGTTAAGTAATCAAAATGTAACTAGTTACATTGATTTTCTCTTATTAATTTACCCTTTCCATTTCATACAAGTATCTTTAGGTAATTCCAATTAGAGATTAAAGATAAGAATTAAATTTCGATTTATGTTTTATTTATTATTTATTTTATTATGAAAACATTTGAATTATTTTACAATTACAAAGTTTCGTTTCGCATTTGGCTCAGACCCTGCGCCTGCGCTGCTGCTGCTGACGCCTGCGTCGCTGCTGTCTGCGCCTACGCTGCTTCCGCTGCTTCCGCTGCTTTTGCTTCTTCTGCTGCTTTTGCTGCTGGCGCCGGCGGCGCTTCAGCTTGCGACGCAGGGCGCGTAGCCGGGCGGCTGCATTGGATGTGCTTGCTGCTGCCGTTGTAGTTGTTGTTGTTGTTGCCGCAGTTGTTGTTGCTGAACTTGTCGTTGTTGCCGCCGCAGCTGTTGTAGGCGCGGCTGTTGCTGCTGCTCCAGCAACTGTTGTTGACCCCGTCTGAGCCTGGACCTGAGTCAGGCAACAAACTAGGCAGCAAATTACGAGAAATGCCAAAGCGAAACGCATATTGAAGCTTCTTGTAACTCAGCTAATGCCCGGGGCTTTATATAGTAAATCGTCTGGCTGTGTGGCTTGGCCATGTAATGTTTGTGATGTAAAAGCTGTTACCTTATGGACTCAGGTGTTTCAGGTGTTTTTTTTTCGAGCACCAAAAACGCGAAGCACGAAATAGTTGGTTGAATCAATATTGTCTGTGAATTCTGTGTACTTGTAATCTAAATAAGAGGTCTCTTATTTATTTGGGATTAATTCCCATTCAATAACCAGATAAGCATTCAAATTGTTTATCAAACCTTAAGGTTTTTCTCCAGTTTACCTTTCCGAGGAAAATTGCATATTAATTAATAGATTTATGCGGTAAGCTCCGCCCGCCGTCAATCAGGCGATGCAAATTCATCAGCATGCCAAAGCTGCCACAGAGTCGGCAGAGTTGGCAGCAGGCGATGTGGCAATGTGGCAATGTTGCAGCACTCAATCAACATGTTGCGATATCAGCACAATTTGTCATCCTATAAGGAAGAGCGCACGGAGTGCGCTTGCCGCGCCGTGGCTGCCACACAGAGCCCGAGACATTGTTAACCGAAGTCTCACATCTTGCATCGAGCATGTCGCAGCTCTTGGCAGCTCTGGCCCGCTGTGCCCGGTTCGTACGGTGGTCCTGTCTGATGTTTGCCGTATTCAAAGCATAAGAAAACTCAATCAAGGGGCTCGTAAATCTTGGCACAATTTGATGAGCGCTCTGTGGGAGACCCGTCTGCAGTGTCCTCCCCGCCATCCCTGTCCCTGTCTCCGTCCCTGTCTCTGTCTCAGTCTGCGGCTCGTGTAAGAGGTCTTACATTTCTCGGCTTATTGATTATCAATGCTGGTGCCGCGCCGGGGACCATTTCCGATTCGTCATCATGCGACGAGTGAAGTTTCAATCTGCTCCGAAATATATATAAAAAACTAAAATATAAAATAAAAGAACACTGATGTGCGCCGTGTGTGGCGCATTCTGAGTGTTTTGACAGCATGACACACATACGGCACACACGCACACACGCATGCAGTTGCCAGTTCCACCTAAATTTGATGCAGCACAAGCCCAGGCGACGACGACGATCACAGTCAACTTCAAAAGTGTGCGGCTGAGCGTTATTGATCGTCCATGTCCCGCTGTTGTGATCCGCTCCCAGCGTGAGACATTACAAAAGGCCCAGTGATGGTAACAATGCCGCTCGTTGTCGCCGCTGCAGTTGTCCATAATCTACACACGCACACACACACTTGGCCGGAGTCGGTCCTTTTGAAGGTCCTTTTGGCCAAAGTTCTCGAACTCGCACACACACCCGCAATGCTTGATGCGCTGCATATGCAAAACACAATGAAGTTCTTTGAAGCGCGGCGCGTCAGGTAAGCGACAATTATTTATCTTACAAATTTACCTGAAATTAAATACTTACGCTGCAGCTACAAGTCACAGTCGGCATTGCCACCCAGGTTGATACCCTGCAAATGGCAGAGGAGTGAGTAAAAAAGGGAGGTAATTGCTTATGACGGATAGCTTAACATGCAGACGCTCTAGACACGTATCTTTAACTCTCATAATAACCTCTCATAAGTACCCTATTACCCGGAACTGGAAGTGGGCCTTTAGCTGTCTGTCGAGCACATTTCCCTTAGTTGCACATACCCAGTTTGTGCATATTATGTTTACAGGGCAACAAAAGGGCGACAAATTCCCCCTTTTTAATCAGCGGCACGCACTTTGATCACCTGAGACACACATACACACACACACAAGGCCGCCGCTTGTTGCCGCAGTTTCAGTTTCAGTTGCAGTTGCAGTTGTTGTGGGAACTTACCTGGCCACAAGGTGTGACAAGTCAGCGGATTTGCGTGTTTTCCTGCGAAATATTTAAATGCAAGATTATCGGCCAACAGGCAAACGGCAGCAGGCAGCAGCGGCAACAGCGGCAACTGTTGGCAACAAAAGGCTCGCTGACTTAATCCTGCGGCCTGCCCTTTTGATCTGCTTCTGCAGGCTGGTCAGCCCGGGGCCTGGTTTGGAGCGTTAACTAATTAGCAGCTGGACTGGCATTCGGCTCATTTCCGCCACAAAACAATTTCGATTAAGGCAAACTTAAAGCAAAAAGCTACCGACAACTAATCCAATCATAATCGCGCAATCATAATTACAACAATCTACCAAATGAAACGCAGCCTCAGACCAAGACCGAGACCAAGACAAAGACCGATGATATTCGAAGCGGCTGGCGACTGGCCAACTGTGGCCAACCTAACGGGCACAAACGCAACCTACAGAGCCAGCCAGCCAACATTGACTTCTATTGCTGTCGGGGCAACTGCAAGCAGCAGCAACAGGCAGCAGCAACAGGCAGCAACAACAACCTACAACAACAGGTTGCTGCTGCCTGAAGTGCTTCGTGGCCAGACAAACGTTAAGATTGTAATAACCATGTTAAAAGCAATTTACGTTTAAAGTGCTACTGTGATACGCCGCCGATGCGTTTCTTGATTAAGAACCAGAGACGCAGGAGGAGAGCTGACACACACACATACACACTGGACAGTAAGTAGAAGGCTGCAGGAGCTGCCTTGTCTGCTCGTCTGCATTTATTTGGCGGCAAAAGTTGTTTTTTTTTTCTCTTCGAACTTTCCTTTCATATTCACAGTCCACTTAACACGCGCGTCGCACAATGCGCCTCAAAACACAAATGAGCAGCAGCAGCAGCAGCAGCAGCAGCAACTGTTGTTGTTGTTGTTGTTGTTGCCCCAACGGTGGCGGCAGCCTCAGAAATCTGTGCCTCTGTCGGCGCGCTTTGATGTTGGGAATGGCGTGTGCCCAATGCAGAGATTCCGCTTTGTTGTTTTGCCGACGCCAGCGACGTCGTCGTCGTCGTCGTCGTTCGTCGGGCATGCAACAGCAATTTGCCGCCAAGTGAGCCGCAGCGAGCGTGGAGCGTGGAGAGCATTCGCAAGAGAGACAAAGTGGCAGAGAGAGCGAGAGGGAGAGGGAGAATGAAATCCACTCAACTTCCAAATAATCCCAGTTCCCAGGCCAGATTCTGCTCAATTTTGCCGTTACTTATTTCACGTTATTTGACCAGGTAAAAAACTCATTTTGGCACGGAAAGAAAAACTTGCAAGTGCCGAAATCCCTGCTAGATTTTATTTGGCATCGATTCGCCAAACTTTCATAAGTTTGTCAAAATTGAATCGATTTTTATTTTGCCTATGATTTTTTCACCAGCTTGCTTCAAAATTTTCTATTTTTAGTTATAATACTTAACCCTTGCACATTTTCGAGGTATTCTTAGTAAGTTTCTTTTATAAGTATTGATCATACAAAATTTGTGAAAATTTTACAAATTTTTATGCTTGGTGACCCTTTTCCTATTTCTTTTCTCACTCTCTCTCTCTTTCTCTCTCACTCTCTCTTTGTTGTTCTCTAGATAAGTTCTG